AAACACATGCTAAATTCGTGCACCCTTTGGTATGCCTCATGGCTGATTCATCCCAAAGGTTTTGGACCTTATTTAACTAAAAACAACTTGCCTAATAACTAGCCCAATAAGTGGTGCAGCCCAAACAAGAGTTGGCAGCCACTTTAACAAGAGTTTTAGGCCTTTATTTACTAATTACAAGTACTAAAAACACCCACTAAGATAATGGCGTAATTAGGCTTCACAATCCTTGATACAATTCACCATCTTGGCCTTGTCTTCATCATTGTGCATTTCTTCAAGAATAAGGGCCGCAACTTGTTGCAAAGCATCCTTGTCCCTTTTAGTCCTTGCCTTAGTCATTGGTCCTCCAAGTCCTTTGAGTGTTCCTAAATCCTTGCCCATGTCCTCATCACATTGTGTATTGCGTCCCTTTTCAGTCCAAGGGAAGTTATATGAATTTGAAATTTGAAAATGTAAAAGAGACCCATACCCTCAAGGTGAAACAATATTTTGGACTAATTATTGACTACAATTAAATTATTTAGATCATGGACATCTCAGTTGGCCTTAAAAACCGTGTTTGAGATAAAGGGTATCTTATCGAAGTCAAATGACTTAAATTTCCCATAATTAAGTATAGGTAGTCAGCATGAGACCATAATTTGTACCACTACCAGAATGAAATGGTAAAAATGGATACTCAAACCTATAATGCATCCAGGAAACTAGCTTCTAGTTGAAATTTAAGCCATACTATTCTAATAAACCGTAAATAGTTTAAAGGATATAAGGTATCCCTGAGTTAAAATTGTGATTTCTTTCCCCGTAGGAAAATGCTTCACATTTAATTTCCTTAAAGTATAACACCATCATTTCAAGTGCTAATATGTTGCTTATTTCTTCTTCTACAAGCATCTAAAAGTGGCACTCGCTATGTATATATATTATTTATATTTCGATCACCATAAAATGGCCCCTCTAAGTGCGTCACAAGATGTAAGTGAATGGCATCGGCAACAAGATATTTCCTCTGGGGCACGGAATCCTTTGTTTCCAAAGCATGAACCTTTTTTTTTTTTCTATTTTCCATCTCTTGCATAGCACATCAACGGTTAGTATTGCTGAAGGTATCAATTACTCTCCTCAAAACTCAAGTTATGAAATTAGAGTCATACCTTTGCTTCTCAATAACCCCCAGAGATAGTAGATGAATGCAGAGGCATCGGGGTAGTATATAAAATTTTTCCATCTACCTTGCCTGACAGGGTAGTGACCTTTTTACTTTGAGAGGGAGGACCTATCGTTGAACTGTTGTTTGCACATTGCCTAGAATCCTGCACAAGGCTGATAAGCTCCTTTCTTCCTTTTGAAGGTAAAGGTTCCCTGACCCTCTCTGCAAAAGCACTTCTAGTGCTAGCATCTTTCGTAGAGGTTATACTTATACCTAAGCCATCTGTTCCTTGTGCTCTAAGTAAACTCCCACCAGCCTTGTCAGGATGATTTTTTAGTGAACCGGCATAAGCCTTTTGCTTTACATGTTTATTAAGTTCAGAATAATTCTTATAATCTGCCAACACCCTTTGTCAGCAAAACTCAGTTCATACGGAAATTATAGCAATTCCCACTAGGATTGACGATCAGATCAAATCATTATGTACAAATTTGCATAAATTAAATATCATTCAAATAGAATGTGTTAATTTTGACTCAAAAAATGTCTACATAATAATACCATTTTTCCATCTCAAGAAATCCAAGTAAAAATTAAAACAATTACACATTTCATTAACAATATCATACATTGTTAATAAATCAAACACTTAAAAAGCAAACTTTTAACAAAAGCATCAACGTCGCAAAAAGGGTTGTGAAAGTGTGTAACCAGCAATACAGAACCAAAACACAAGTTATCAAACGTTGAAGCCAATTAGCAAAAGGAGTAGCTGATGAACAAGTACACAATCCCGAGGGATGAACGCATAATATTGTAGACACATCTTATATAGGCTTGATCTTGAAGTGAAGTGAAATAAGAGAGAAGACAAAGCACTTCAAATCCTGCAAATAGTAGATATAAAAAAGAATAAACAAAACAATACTTAACACCAACAGAAATGAACCATAGGAGCGTGTCCCAAGAATGCCCAAGAATGTTGCGAATGTTTCAAAAAACAGTTCACAGCCATGATTATAGATGCAAATCACAATCTCACTCACCTGAACAAGATAATTAAAGATCTGAAGCCCTCTAGGATCAGCGCTACTATGAACATCAATAAGAGAGCCAATCTTGGAGGTGGTGAAGGATATGTACTCGTTCCACTACAAGAAAAATACAAAATAGCGACCGAAATTAGCGACCGAATTTTATCGGTCGCTGTTTAGCGACCGAATTAGCGACCGATTAAAATAGCGACCGATTTAGCGACCGAAATTTATCAGTCGCTGTTTAGCGACCGATTTAGCGACTGAAATTTTTCAGTCGCTGTTTTGCGACCGAATTAGCGACGGATTAGAGTGGTAGCGAGAAAATCGGTCGCTAAATCGGTCGCTATTTACTTGTGTTTCATGAAAATATAATTTGCGACGGAATTAGCGACCAATTTTAAAAATAATTATCAAAGAATTGCGACCGAATTAAATTCGGTCGCTAATACTGAACTTTTGAATTTTTTAGCGACCGATTAAATTTCGGTAGCTAAATTTTTTTTATTAAATTTTGAACCAATGTGACTTTCCCACATTTTTCAACTAAAATTACAAAGCTAGGATTCGATCCCTGGTTGTGGGGGTTATGAGCCAGCAGCCATACCGTTATACCAACTTGATTTCTTAGTATTCTTGGGAAAGTAATATGTATATAATACAGAAGCTTATAATTTTTATTATCTTATAATTTAATATTGGATTTCTTTTGATTATAAAACATAGTAAATAAAATCTAAAATTTGTATTAGTTTCTTTGATAAAAATATTTAATTAATTTTAATATATAATAAATTTAATATCAAAATATTTATTTGGATTTGAGTTATAATTATTATAATCTTTTTGATTTAATATTAGATATCTTTTGATTATAAAATATAATAAATAAAATCTAAAATATGTAGCAATATCTTTATACAAATATTTAATATCAAAATATTTATTATAATTTTAATTATGATTTTTATAATCTTTTGATTTAATACTGGATTTCTTTTGATTATAATATTTTAATGTGTTTTATTTGAAATACCAGTTAAAATATTTTATTATCTTTTTATTTTAATTTATTATAAAATAATTAGAATATTTAATTTAGTATTATTAAAAAATAA